GGTTTTGGCTGAAGATATTGAGCTTTTCCACAGATGTAGTCAATCTGATTCCTGTGTGTTCCATCTGGTGAAGTCCACGTGTAGAGCCGCTGTTTGTGTTGTTGAAAAAAGGTGTTTGCAATGAACAAATCATTGGTCTTGCAAAATTCTACCATGCAAGTTCCAGCATGGAACTACTTCTGTGAAGCAGGTTTTACTATTATCCCAATTTTGCAGATGGTAAAACAAAGAGATTGTACAGCTAGCAAATAACAAGAGTCTGGATTCCAACCCAGACAGTCTGGTTGCAGTTTTCGTGCTCTTAACCACTATACCATGTTGCCTCTATTGTATTATTTTATTGCAGACATCACTTTTATCATTGTCACATTTGTGAGTTGGCCTCTTCTTCTGGACTGTGAGAACCTCCAAGACAGAGGCAGGAACTCTTTACCTCTGCCTTCTCATTATCTAGTACAATGCCAGGCACATAGGAGGTCTCAATCAATAACTGTTGACTGAGCGATTTTGTAAACCATAAACATCTCTGTAAATGCCAGATATTCCAATCCTCAATTCACAGGCTTATGGAAACTTGAACTAAGCTCTGGCCATTTAAACTTCAGGCTCTGAGGCCACAAATGATATCACTCAGCTTCTTAGCCTCAATTGGCTCAGCAGAGGGTTTCATTGTTAGTCCATCATATAAAATTAACACAAGTGATGCCTTTCAATAAGTAATAGAGTGAAAGGGGAGGGCAGGGTATGCTTGTTAGGATAGCAGGGCAGCCTGGGAGAAAGGAGTTTAACAAGAGCAGAGGCAGCCCACCCAGGCCCCCAGCTCATTCTGCCTCATTAGCGTTGTCTCTGGTTTCCAACTGGTTCCTAATTGCTATCTCATTTCCCAGTCTCAGGAAGCCCTTACCACTCTGTTCCCACCTGCAAGGTAATTGCCTGGTTCTCCTGCAGATACCGCTTAGATCAGCTTCCACGCCAATGAAACCTGGCCCCACCTCACCTGGACTTTGGAGACATCCTCAGCACTAGAAGAAATGCTCTCAGATGACTAGTCAAGGGGTTGGGCTTGCTCTGATCTATGATTTAAAGTGGGAACTCATCCTTGTGTAAGAAGAGCTTTTTACTTTTTGGAATATAATGAGATATTTATCTTCTCCTTATCACCCTAGTTAAAATAGCAACCCAACTCACCTTACCCCTTTCGCTGCTTCAATTTTTCTCCATGGCACTGTTATCATTTGACAGTCTCTGTATCTATTTTTTTCCACCAGAATATAAGCCCTACGAATCAAGTAATTATGTCTGTTTTGTTTGATACTGTTATGTACCTAAAACATGGCCTGGCACATTAACAGGCCTTCAATAAATATTTATGGAATAAATGGGTACATGAAGAATTTTAAATCCTGCTTGAGACATCAATAGCCCCATGCCCTTGCTACCCTCAGCTATTTATCTAAATCATCCAAAGGAGATGCTGTTCATTTTTTTTCTAGGGGAAACTCCTCATCTACCCCCGGGATGTGCTTTCAGTATGCTCTTTTTTTGTGATCAAAATGTCCTGCCCCAGATACTAGCAGGGAATATAATTTTACAATTGAAAAAGCCCACCTAATCTAATTCCCCTACAAATCCAGGGCCCCTTTTATGAGCATTTCGTATGATGTAGAGCTAACCACCTTACAAGGAAGCTGGCAAGGATGGGTACTCCATGTGGAAACCATGCAGCTGATCAGAAAATAAGAATTTACATCTATTCTATTGAAGTGTTTTTGTTAATCTGGATTATCATCCAACTTTCTCTCTCTAGGTCACACACAACTCAGATCAGTGCCTACTAAATTAGCAGCTAGAGTAGGGAATTTTTCGTTCACTTCCACCATCAAGACACAGCCTATATGCTCCCAGCACAGTGCTGCTGCTCCTCCATACTTTTACACTTGCTCACACTTTATTCCCTCAAACAGAAATGTTATTCCACCCTCTCTGCTGGAAAACCCAAACCCATTTTGCCAGACCCATCTCAAATGTCACTTCCTTCACAATGCCTACTCCAAGTGTTACTAGCTTTCACAATACTCTGTACCTATCTCTGTTGCAGAACTGTTATAGCCTGAATTGTGTTCCCCCAAAATATGAGTCAACTTGACTAGGCCATGATTCTCAGTTTTATATAATTATACTCCATTGTGTAATTGGATGCAATTATTGTAAATCCTAACCTCTATGATGTTAATTACACAGAATTAGAGGTAGTTATGTTAATGAGGCAGGATACAATCTACAGGATTAGGCTGTACCTTGAGTTAATTTCTTTGGAAATATAAAAGAGATTAAACAAGTAAGCAGAGATCAGGAAGACCTGACAACCACCAAGAAAGAAGAGCTGAGAATGGAGTACGTCCTTTGGACCCAGGGGCCCTGCACTTGATCCACGGGAAGATGAATGCCAAGACACATATTGATCTCCAAGGAATGCCAGGCCCACAGATGTTGAAAGGAGACAAAGACATTCCTTCAGAATGACACAGAGAGAACACCCTCCCTTGATCTGGAGCCCTGAATTTATATTTCTAGCCTCCTAAACTGTGAGAGAATAAAGGTTTTTTTTTTGTTAAAGCCATCCATTTGTGGTATTTCTGTTATAGCAGCATTAGATAACTAAGATAAGAACTTACACTGTCTTACACTGATTTAGTTGCAGGGATGCTGTTTTGCATTTATTTATTTATATGTCTGTCTTTCGCACCTGCTGGTGTTCTTTGAGGGCAGGTATCAAGTTGCATGCATCACCACATCCAGAGAGCTTAGCACAGGGCCCAGCAGCTACTAGGCATTCAGTAGTTGATAAATGAAGAGCACATACTCACATGTGGTTAGGAACACATACCCTGCACAAGGGCATATGTGGGAACGCATATACAAACACTCATATCCCCATGAAATATATACACAGAGATATACACATGCCTACTTTTAGGTACGTAGACCTGGACATACATATACACACAAATATTTACATATTGATCCAGTTATACACATAAGCACACATACACACACACACACACACACATATCCTCATGCACACATGGAAATACACATATGTATATTTATATACCTACACATAGGCATAAATACAAACACAAAACCACAAAGTCATGTATATCTACATAATACATGCATATTCCTGAAAAGACATACCATTTTCCTGAATGATATCGGAGGCACACTGCTCCAGGACAGACATGTTTGCCAAGATGGTCACAATCTGAAAGAGAGAATGGAGAAGGTAAGCAAACAGACACAAGGAAAGTTGGGAGCTACAAAGCTTTCCTTTAACTTGTGACTCCTTAGTGTCCACCTGGCCCAACCTTCCATCCTCATGGGCTCCTGCCACCCAGAGGTACTGTATTTTTACACAAATGATACACTTACTATATGGTTTTTTGCAAACTGGTCAACTCCCTCAAACATTAGTTTCCTATGTGTACTATGCCCATTATACATGCTTGTGCATTATTTGTGTGGGTGCATTATACATGAAAAATATAGTACATCTCCAATTACTGAAGCCCATTCATAAGTATGAGACCTTAGGGAGCCCCCAAAATCCCGCTTCAGAGAACAGTGTCCTCCCAGGTGCCAAAGGGGTAAGGAGGCTGCATCTTCTGACCTCCTCTAACTAGATAAAAGGAGGACAGAATCACCATCAGCAGCCCAAGGCCTGCCCCTATGAGGCCAGACATGCCACCATCCTCAAGCCCTCTTACTAAGCTTGACACCAACAATTCCTCCCACAGCACACACCACCTCTCTGCTGGATTTGATAATTCACTGCAGTGGCCACATTATTAGGGAAGTAGCAGGCTACAATTCAAGTTCAGGGATGCATTCAGTCTCTCTCAGCTGGTCATCTCTCAGCCAACAGTCTCTTTCATTCTCTTTCAGTAGCACATCTCTCTCTCAGTACTGCATGTCTCTAGCATCTCTCTCTCAGCAGCATGTCTCTCTCATGTCTCTCAGCAGCATACATTTCTCAGCCGGCAGTCAGAGAGACTCCTTCTGCCTCTAGTAGGGCTCCTTTTGAGCTTGGCAGAGTGGCCAAAACCAACAAATGCCAACATCAGGGTTCCACACACCTAAGAGAGAGTGACTTCCCAGAAGATTGCTTCGTACTGCTCCAACAGAAATACCCCAGAAGGATAACTTTAACAATCCGAAGCTACTCAGTTGCTCAGAGCATATTCCACGATGGAGTTTACAAAGACTCTGGCTAGAAAAGCCACACCATGCAATTTACTACACCACACTAGGTAAAGAAGGGACCCTAGCAATCTTTATGCAGTACCCTTCTGGCCCTGAAATACAGTCCTGGAAGGTTCCTGGCCTTCTCTAACTCCTCTGTGCTGTTTAGTACTTATAGTGGCTAGCCCCTACTTTGGATCATACTCTCCCATCCCAGCTTCTTGACCTGATACTGAGCTCTACCTACTCTCAGCCTGAAATAAATGGAGGCCAAAGCCAAGTTAGAGAGCATGAGTGGGAAGAGGCAGCATTATAACCCAAGCACCAGGTATTGCACAGAATCTGATAAGAAACTTCATGCTCAGCCATATTTTACAAGTCTATGGTTTCTAAGTCTAGCTTTTCAAATGTTAGTTAAGGTGTCTATCTGTAGGAAAGAGATGCTGACCCTAGGTGGACAGTGAGCCTTGGCTACAACCCCATGGTCTGAACAACCAGCAGCCTGCCCCATCCTAGCCCCTGGCAGAGCCAAGGGAGCACAGAGATCTCAGAGCACAAAACTGTTTTGAGGAGTGAGCTGACAAGGGATCCATTCCAGGGACCCAGACTGTAAAGGGTGCCAAAACACCACTGGAATGTATTGGAAACATGGTACCATTAATTCACTTACCACCCATCACACTGCTTCTGACATAAACTGAAAAATGAATACTCAGCCACTTCCACAGAATAAATAAAAACTGCTTCTCACTGAGGTAGGTCTATATCTTTTGAATTTTTTTTTTTTTAAGTTTGTGATATGACCAAACCAGAGGCCATGCCCCACCTCTGAGACATGCAGCTCCTGAGTATCTCCTGAGGACAGTTCAGTCAGCTAAATTATGAAACTGCATAATGCACAGCAACATGACGTTAACCAAGAAAGAGTATTATCTAGATATTGCTGTTGGTGTTAGCTGCTGTAGAGTTGGCTAACCACTCATGGTGACCCCATGCTCAATGGAACAAAACACTGCCAGTCCTGCACCATCCCCACGGGGGGTAGGGAACTGGACTGCTGTGATCCACAGGGTTTCCATCGGCTGATTCTCAGAAGCAGACCATCAGGCCTTTCTTCCTAGTCCATCTTAGTCTGGATACCTCTTCAGCATCATAGCAACCCACAAATCTCCGCTGACAGACAAGAGGTGGCTGCCCATGAGGTACACTGGTCCCTAATCGAAGCCAGATCTCCAGCACCAAACCAAAAACCAAACTCACTGCCGTGGAGTCGATTTCGACTCATAGCAACTCCTCCTTGCATTTCTGAGGCGGTATCACTATGGAAGGGGATTGCCCAACCTTCCTTCCAAGGAGTGGCTGGTGGGTTTGAATCTCCAGCCTTCTGGTTAGCAGTCAAGTGCCTTAGGCACTATGCTACCAGAGCTCAGAATTCTACCACAGAACCACCACTACCCCCTTAATAAGTTTAATATTGGTTTATTGGTAATTGGTTTAATATTATCCATATATTATTCTGGATAGTAAATGCATATAATAAATCTCTTCTTTTACACAGAAAGGAAAAGGGTTACCATATTAATAGACTATCAATCTCCCCACTTCTCAACTAAACACACATTGGAAATGAATGACACATTCTTAGGCTGCTGGCAGCATTCGTGTATGTCAGCCTTCCCACCTCAGACCTGGTCAGAGGCCTGGGGGGGGGTATACCTCGTTGGGGAGGGGTGCCAAGAGAATAGGCAGAAAAACCCTGAAAGTGGTATCTTGAAGGCAACTCTGCAGCACCAGCTGTTTTATGAGGAATGTGGCAAATTTATGTTTGCATTTCAGAAAGATTATAGGACAATAGAAAGTTTGGTTGGAAACTTTTTTTCCCTTTTATGATTGTGGGTATTTGAGATGAGTGAGGGGAAAAGAACGGTTTATGGATTGAATTGTGCCCCCTAAAAATATTGAAGTCCTAAGCCCTATACCTGTGAATGTGACCTTGTCTGAAAATATGGTTTTCTTTTTGTTATGCATTAAGCCAAACAAGACCATACAGGAATAAGGTGGGTCTTAATCCTAATCCCTTCTGAGTGGTACAAAAGGTTGGAACAGACATGGAAACATGGTCACATACAGGGTAGAAGACAGAAGCCATGTGAAGATACAAGCCAAGGAACACTGCAACTTAACCAGATACTGAAAGAGACAAGGAAGGGTCTCCCCTAGGGCCTCCAGGGAAAGCATGGCCCTGCCAGCACCCTGAATTCAAGCCTGAATTCAGGCTTCTAGTCTCCAGAATGTGAGACAATAAATTTCTGTTCCTTAAAGCCACTCACACTGGCATTTTGTCATGGCAGCCCTAGGAAACTAATGCAGATGGATTGAAGATGTGATAGAAAAACAGAAGGTTCCCCTAGAGGCATAAAGTGACAGTCTCTAAGAGGGAGGAAATACAAGGCCAACTCAGTGTCAGGCAATAGTTTGTTCGGCTTTTGCCAGGCTCTTAACAGTAACAGAGAACCACCCAGGGGCCACTGCACTCTAACCATCACCACCTGGTCTCTGAACAAAGACATTTGCTTGACAGGCAGAATCACTAGGGAGAATGGAAGGAAGGAGGAAAGGAGGGAGGGAAGAAGAAAGGGAAAAAGGAAAGAAGAACTTTGTCTGCAGCATCAGGTTTATAATATGATAATTATTAGCTCTGTCACAGGCACATAGTAGGTATGGCAGTGTGACGTGTGCTCTACGAGGAATACTCTCAAGAGAAATGCTACTGAGCGCTTTCTATTAACCATCGTAGTTGCCATCGTTGGCTGTGAGAGATCAGTCAGCAAGTTAAAACTAATACTTTCCTATTTGAGAGCCTCCATGGGTCAAGGAAAACTTGATCTTATTCTGCTGAGTACAGAAAGAAATAATAAAAATGCCCAAATGAAAGGGCACTCTTCCCCCTGAGTTATTAAAAAAAATAATAACTTTGAGCATATCTTAGACCAATTTTCATCAGTGAAAGGAAGGTGCAGTTGTAATTTTCAGGTAGTGCCTTAATGAGTTAAGTGAAAGATTAACGAGCCTGACTTGTATTTTTGAGTTGATAATATGGTAAAGTTATCTAAAAGATGGGTGTCAGATGTTTGGACAGGAGCGCAATTTCAGTGCTTGCCATGGGCGCTATTTTCTGTAGATATGCCTCTGTCTTTGTGTCAAACTAATTTAGATCCTGTTAATGAAAATTACTTCCTCTTTACAGAGCCTGTACCCCATGTGGTTTTCTGAGGTGCAGATGGCGTATTCAATTAAGCACAATTTGAATAAATGCCAATTATGCCCTGCTTTGAGTCCCCTTTTTGAAACATCCTTGTATGTGCACCGGGAGTAGAAGGGAAGGAGGTCAATGTCTCTCCTAGCAGGCAGGCACATGGTGGCGATTTTAGAACAAGTTTTCCTGGTTGGATTTAAAAAAAAAAAACACAGTTGCCATCAAGTAGATTCTATTTAATTCTTGGTAACTGCATGTGTATCAGGGTAAAACTGTGTTCCAACCAGGTTTTCAGTGACTATGTTTTAAGAGGTAGATTGCCAAGCCTTCCTTCTCAGGATCCTCTGGGTAGACTCAAATGTCCAATTTTGTAATTGGTAGCTGAGTATGTTAACCATTTGTACCACCTTGGTTGGATGCCAGAAAATAATGTTGTCAGAAGACATAGTGCAGGAGCTAGGCAGATAGTCCAGGTGGATTCAGTCCTGTCCAATGAGGTTCAGTCACGTCTTATCCCTCCCAAATGAAAGGGCAGTCTTCCCCCTGAAGTTATTTGGTGAATAAGGAGGATATCATCCTCTAGGAGAGGCCGTAGGTGAGAGGCAGCATGTGTAGTGGTTGAGCACATGGATCAGTCTAAGTCTAAATCAAGGCTCTATCACTGATTTGCCATGTGACCTTGGACACATTACTTAACCTCTCTGTACCTTAACTATTGTTGTTATGTGCTGTGGAGTTGGACCTGACTCATAGTGACCATTCCTTCC